CGGGAACGCAGTCAGAGGCCTGAGTCCCACTAGGGCCCATCGCTGCCCAGCCAGTACCAGCTGAGCAAGACACCGGACTTCTATAAGCTTCAGTGTCCACCCTTGATTTGCCCTGTGTACCTCGTAGGGGCTGTGAGGAAGAAATGATATACTTACAGAAGCCGCACAAATACCAGAAATGACATTATAATGATTAAAACACAACAACGACAACCACAAAAGTAGGTATTTGCTTCCTGGCTTGGCAGGTGAGGCAAAGTATTCCCGATTCTCATCTTAATCAGGAAGCACAACTTTGAAAAATGAGCCGCATATTAAAAAAAAAAAAAAGTTAAAAGATAATGAAATGGAATTTCAATGAGTTACAGGCCAATGTCTCATTTCTAAATCCCACACCAAAAAGTTCAAAAGCAAGCTTCCAAGGAGTCACACAGCAGGACCTTTTCCAAGCTCCAAACCCCTAGATGATCATCTGCATTCCTGTGTTGGCTGAGGCACTCTGATCTCGTGTAGCCCACATAATGCGGGGCTTGCCAAAGATTTTCTTATTTTTGAGCTGACAAATTAGTGCTGTGACTGAGGTTCTTCCCCATCAACTGGCTCAACTACTGCCTGTATCTCCCTTAATATTGTCAGTTGTAAGTACAGCTGCCAGAGCACAAACTAATCATCACTAACTAAGCTGTACACACCTTTCAGCAGAAAAATCTAACTCTTTCCTGTCCTGGTGAATCTGTAGGCTTTCTACGCTGTGAATCAATTTCAAGAAAAATTACTGTCTTTCCACCCGAAACCATGTGCAAGTAGGGGACTCACCCAGAGTACACCCCGGCCATGCAGTTCTCCAGGGCCAGGAGGAGTCAGGTATCTAAACATAGAACGTGCAGCCCTGTCTGCCTCAACTCCTTGAAAGCACAGGTAAGAAAAAGAAGACATTAGACACCTCTCCCCTGGACTATGGAAATACAGGATCCACGTATTATTAATGTGTTTCAAGCTACTGAAAATCCAAAAGGTAAAACCCTCGACTAGAAGATACCTTTAAGCCTTGCCTAAATCCATGTTAACTCTGCTTTGGAAAACACTTTTGGTAGAAACAACAACAAATTCATTTATTCACTCATTCGACCAATATTTATATTCCAGATCCTATTCTTATGCTGGAAATCAGAAGTAAACAAAAGAGATAAAGTCCCTTCTGTCACAGGTTTAATTCCAGTGTGTGTGTGTATGTGTGTGAAGGGGGGAAGAATTAATAGTCAAATAAACATAAACTAATGTGAAGTAGTGATAAGTGACATCCAGCAAATAAGGGTAGTGAGGGAAGTGTTGGAGGCAGCTGCCCCTGCAGACAATGTAATTGGAGCGGCCTCTGTGACGGCATGATATTTGAGTCTAAGACTGAAGGAGGCGACACTGAAGCCACACAGACATTGAGAGAACATTACGGACAGAGACCGACCAGTGAAAAGGCCTGAGGAGTGAACATGCCTGGCCTGCTTGAGGATGGCAAGGAGGCCAGGTGCCTGAAAGGGAAGGAGGAGGGGGGCAAAGGAGGAGGAGATGAAATCAGACAGATGGCCGAGGGGTCAGATGGTGCCAGGCCCTGTAGGCCAAGGCAAGAACTCAGTTTTATTCTGAGATAAGAAGCCATTAGAGAGTTTTAAGCAAGGGAGAGAAGGGATCAAGGGAAGTCCTGGAGGAAACCACGGAGGAAAAAGGAAGACCAAGGAGTCTACTGGAATATTCCAGAAGAGACGTGAGATGATGATGGTTAGCCCAGAATGTTAGTGATGAAGGGAGCTGGAAGTGATCACGTGCAGGATATATTCTGATGACAGGGCTTGCATGTGGAGTGTGAAGATGTGGAGTGAGAGAGAAACAGAAGTTGAGGATGATACCGAGATTTTTTGGCCTGAGTGACCGGGGACCACAAACTGACATGGGCACACTGAGAAAGGAGCAGGCTCTGGAAGGCAGAAATCGCGAGCAAGTAGGAGGCAGCAGCCTCTGTGTGCTGACCCAGGCTGGGGTGGAAAGAGCGACTCAAAGAACCTCAGAGCTCACTTGGTTTTCTGCTCTGTGTACAAACTCGGCATCTGTGAAGATGTCTCTGAAAAGGGTTTCATATCTGCTTGAAAAACCAGAGAGGAAAAATCACAGTGGCAGCCATCGTCTCTTGAACCTTACTAGTCACCAGGCACTACAGTAAGCGCCATACGCATAATGCGGTTAATTCTCATACATAAAAGCACTTAACCACAGCACCTGGCACGTGAAAAAATATCATTAAATGTTATCCATAATATTTGTGAAGTACGTCCCATTCTAACTGCAATGATAACTTTGAGTATTTTTAATTTCTACAAGTTCTATTTTCTTTTTTGTTTGTTTGAAAATATCCCATTCTTTTTGTCTTATGATTTTCATTGTTTCTTGGACTAACAGGCAGTATTTGTATCCCCCTTTGAAAAGCGCCGCAGCCAATCAAGGTCTTACTTAAACTTTATGCAGAGGTTTTGGTTTCGGCTGCCTCTTGAAGGCCAAGGTCACATCATGTGTCTGAGCATTAAAACCCTAATACCTACCTGTGGTTCCATATCCCACGGGATGCTGTTTCATCAGTCCACACACACTAGCTCTGAGCTTTGTTTCGGGTTCCTGGACATTTCTCTCTTTATCTTTCAAGTTCATCCAGGTATTCAAACATTTCTTGGGTTATATTTTATTTAACATCTCCAAGTGTTTAAAGAAGAGCAGCCTGAGTTAGCTCAGTCTGACATATAAATAATCAGAACCAGAAGTGCAGTGCTATTTTACAGCTGAGGAAATTGCGCCTTAAATCAGCAAAGTAACTTTGAATTCAGTTCTCTCTGCCCAGTCCACGCTGTATTCAGTAGATAGCGAAGCTTCTGCCCCACCACCTTTGCCTGACTCACTAAGCCCAGTTCTACTCACGGGGGTCACACAAGGTAAGTAAGCCGGTCAGTCTCCTATGCACCCCATAAGAATGTGAATACAACTACTTATTCTGTCCCCCATTTGCCTCTACCTGAAAATATCAAACTAAACTCCTTCAATTACTTTTTCATGTTCTATAAAAACAAAATTTTATTTTAACATAAACACAAGGAGATCCTTTATTTTTTTATCTTAAAAAATTGTATAAATCCTAAATGCCACTGGAAAAAAACAAAAAAACAAAAAAACAAAAAAAAACGAGTGGGTTTTCCTCATGTATTATTAGTTTCATTTTAGAGAATGTCTGACCATAACAACAAATATTGAAAGTTAAGACAGCACAGTAGAAATCAGGAAACCTGAGTTCTGTCACTCACTAGCTGTATGACTCATGGGAGCTACAACTTGTTTATTTTGGTTTGTCTTCAAAATAGGGATAATAATACCTTTCCCAGAGTTCAAAGGTTGGGGAGGCAATGAGATTTAATAATATGTATGAAAATATTTGAAAAAATATATACCAAAAAAAATTATCATTATTATTGTAAATGTGTTGTAAATGTTGATTGATCAAGTAATAAGGAAATACTAGCTGAACAAAGGAAATCCAAATTAATGCAAAAATTATTTTACCTTCATGTTGCAAGCTAATTCCATTAGCTTTTTTGCATTTTCTTCTGAGCGATATCTCTTAGGAAGCTGAACCCTGAAGAACTTCAAGGCACCTTCAAAGTCTGTCAATAGCAAGTCATCCTTGGAAGTCTTGAAGAAAGAAAATACAACCATGTATAGAAAATGTTCTTTGCTATGAAGATGCACAAGAAGCATTTTATAATCCCAGCGCCTTTATAACCCCCAGAAGATACTTTGTAGCCTTTAGCAGAGCCACTTGCACATGTCCACTGTCGGGGACAACGTTAGGGCACAGTAGCTGCTTGGAATGAGATTAAGACCAAGATATGGCCAGAGTTGAACAGAGAATGACAGACACCTCTACTTATGAATAAACGAGTACCTTTAATAATCCGAGGGCGACATTAAAAATAACACTTATTCCCTAAAAGAGAAAACACAAAAGAACATTTTCAGTGTTTATATCTGGACTATTAAGCCATTTGACCCCACAATTTTAGAGAAATTGTAAAAACTTAAGTGAAAAAGGAGTGTCTGGAAAATACTTTGGAAAATAAAAATTACGGAGCCACTACTGAAGAACCACTTAAACTAGACCCAGTCTCCTATTTTGCCGAGAGAAGAGCTTTTCTAGCCCTATTCTCACATTCAACAAGAACATTTCTCCAAAGTATTCTATGCTTCCAAACGTTTTAAAACATCAGACGCATAAAACTGCGATCAGGAAATGACTCCTGGTGGACTTTTTATTTTGTGCTACCCGCCTCCAAGCAGAGCAATCGCTCTGTCTGTGAGCCCTAGGTCCAGAGCTGGGTCTGCTCAGGGCTTCCTCCCATCTGCCTCCCTTCATCTCATCATTCTGGGATGCTGGGCGAAGTCAGAGGAGGAGAGGCACTAACACCTGCGGATCAAGTTAAACTATGAAGTTTGGGGCCTTGGTTTCCAGAACTGATATTCTCCCAAGAGTTTTCTGAGCTCATTAGTTTGAAAAGTTTATGTAAATTACTTAGCATGCCACTGGGCCATAACTTAACAGATCACTGTTTATATCAGTGAAAAACTGGACAACTCAAAGGCTTGAAGTTAGGAATACTTGGAATACTTGGCAGCAAGTAAGAATAACGGTATATTTGGTAATGCTATTTCTTATAATGTTTCAAGCTTAGATTTTTGTATGTTTTACATATGGTAAGATTAAGAAAAAAGGACGGTACAGATGTGTATACAGATGTTCAAGTACATGAAATAAGGTTACCAAATAGTCTATACAGCATAATGGTATTTTTAGATATATACAGATCCGTAATACACATTACACAATATTCTATCTGGAAAAAAACTATTCCACATAGAGATTATGTATGTGCATATATGAACACACAAAAAGACTGAAAGAATACACAGCGAAATTTTCGACAGTGGGATTCAAAGTGTCTTTAAATCTTTTTTGCTTATATTTTCTATAGTTTCTATAATAAACACATTATTTTTGAAATTATTTTCTTTTTACACACACACACGCACAACCAAAACTATGCTGTGGCAAAGACTGTTATTTAGGCTAATATCTACTTTCCTTCAGCAATCAGACCTCCCCTCCCCAGTTTTTACCAAGCTTAAAAATAAAAATCTCTTGCAGATAGGTGTGGTCAAGCATCTAAGTTCTGGCCGGTCAGAGGTAAGTGGAAATGTAGGTGGAACTTGCAGGAAGACTGTTAAAAATAGGGCATGCACTCTGTCCCGTGCCCTTCCCTTCGGCTTAAATGTGAATTTGGTGGCTGGAGCTCTAATCAGCCATAAGGATGAGAGTCATGCTCTCGGGAAGGTGAGTTACTGTCACCATATGACTTCTTTCACATGAGAAATAAACCTCTGCTTTATTTATTTAATCACTGTTTTGGGTTTCTTCAAATATTCAGCCAACCCCAATGGTGACTAATACAAATGCCTGATTTTTTTATTTTTTTACTTTTTTTAGCAGGGAGCACCTTTAATAAAATGTGATCCTTAGCTTCCGCCCAAAGAAGAGTCGCTTAAACCTAGATTTTCTAGCACTGAAATAAAATAACTGAGAGGAAAAAATTCTGTTCCGACAGCTGACCCAGGACAGACACTGCGACCACACGCAAAGTGCTGTGGCCTCAGATACGTACCTCACATAAGAGCAGGTCAATGATATGGAAGACCATGTAGAGAGGGAATTTTGCGGTGAAAAGCGTAAGAAACCACTGGGAGGCATACATGTGTGCTTCAAGGCTTATATCCAGGAAGTGGTTGTACAGGTCGGGAATGTATTCCTGAAATAGCAAACTAATTAGTTTTACGTACATATGCAGCTGTTCAGCTCGTACTCAGGAGGCTCGTAAATCTGACAGAAATAGGGCAAAAAAGACACATACTTGTGTTTTTCTAAAAACCTCCAAAGTGCTCAGAAGACTTATTTGGTATTAAACTGGCACTCAGCTCTCTTTTTCAGTCCACAAACTAGCTCTAAAGAGGAATCCCCAAAATGGTGACAAATATTTGGAAAGACAGTTTTTCTTTCCAAGTTATGAAATGTTTGGGAAAGTTTGTTTCGCTTTTGTTATGAGTAAGCGAACCAGCCGACTTCAGAGCCTTGGAGAATATTTCTTCATTGAGTTTGCTGTGCTAAAGGACCCTACAAAGTCATCTGATATTATGAGTATTTATGAGAATGAAAACCCAGCTCAAATCCATGAGGCTCACACTTTATTAACCTTGGCATCATCATCACATAGTGAGCAATAAAAAACAAACAAACAAACATCCCATCTTTAACCCTAGATGGTTTAGGCAATCAATCGATCCACTTTTCCTCCATCCAGCATGAGATTCCCCACCCCATTTTTTTTACCTGCATAAGGCGCTCCAACTGGTAAAATTTGCAATGCAAATCTTCAAAGTTTTGCTTGAAAAGTTCCCTGAGACCATAGTCAAACATGATCTTTACCAGAACACTGAATGCCTGTTCTTCGGGCATCTGTAACAGACAGGAAACGGGGAAGAGAAAAAAAAAATCGCAAAACATATACAGAAATTTTATCCATATATTAGATTCATCCTGCTACTCTCTTACAGGACACCAGGAAATGTAGCAGTAGGCAGTAACTCAGGCCCGTGGCTGTATTTTATTCACTCATTCAACGATTTAACGATTTAACCGAGAACTATTTAACGAGGCCTACTCTGTCAGACACTGCTCCTGTGCTTGCTCAGGGAGGCCCTGTACGACCATCACACAACTATTGCAACAGAAGTTAGGAAGAAAGATGAGAAAAACCCGAGTCTGCCTAGGGGACAGAGGGGCTCTGCGGGCAGGACAGAACTGTGTAGGAGGAGGCCAAGTGTAGGTTTCATTTTCCCCAAATCATGAGACCCCATTAAACCGTTTTACCTCCTTGGCTGCTATTTCACTTTCGTAAAAATGCTTTTCTCCCTCATTGTCGTCAAGAATGTGGCTAGTTACAGAAGAACCTCACATATTAGTCTAAGACTTGCAGTAATGCTGAAAAGTTACTGCAGTTAACGCTTGCTTCACTTCTATTCACTCGTCAAATAATACCTACATCTTCTATAGCTTTATGGGAAAGTATTACCCTGAGGACCTGGCAAAAATATCTAGTTTGCAAGATAGAAAAAAAGCACTGAAAATGTTATTTAAGGCTTTGTTTGACTGCAGCAAGCCTTCGAAATGTCAAGAAGGTGGGCGGGCTTCTGTGGAACAAGACGGAGGTGGGCTGAGCACAGAAACTGCGGGGAATAAAGCGGAGCTAAAAAGCAAAGTGGACTGAGTAAAACATGAGAAAAGCACAGCAAATTATTACTGGGACGGTAAGGATCTGGGGGCAAGGGACCAGGCCTTCGCGGTCTTTGTCGGGAAAGGCAGCGCCACACTTCCACGGGCTGGCTCTGACCCGGCCGCACCTCTGGCGTCAGGCAGCACAGCTGCGCTCGCTCTGAACCCTGATCTTAACGCGCCGGCCAGTGGCACAGAGCTCAAGCTAAGGCACTGGGTTTGACTGGGACACCCGTTTCTCAGAGGGGGTCGGGTACTTACATGGGGATCAACGTCCTCGGACTGAGGTTGAGAACAAAGACCAACCACACAGGCTTGTGAGACTTTGAGATGCAAAGTCTCGTTGAAACAACACAACAAAATTTAAAAACTTTACCTGTTGGTGAATGTGTTAATCAGCTTGACTGTGATAATCATTTCACAAAGTATACATATGTCAAATTATCATGTTATGCACTAAATACACATACAATTTTTGTCAATTAT